TTCAAATCCCAATGGTTGAAAGAATCCTAGCATTTATCTTGTCCATCGTCTTTCCAAATGTGGGATTTCCCTCACAGCATCCTCGATGGTGGACCTCAGAGCCCCATCTGGAAGCAATTCAGAGGAGATGAGCCTCTGAGTATTCCTTGCTATGGACGAGCAATCCTAATTATTAGCAAGCCCTGCTCTACTCTGGGTACGTGTGTTCCTGCCAGACACTTAGTAGTTTTGCCCTCTGGAGCTATCCAGAATAAGTCAAGTTCTTTGTTTGCGTGACAGCTTTTGGGCTATTTTAAAGAAACCCATCCTCTTACAACTGAGGCTTTTCTACTTTAGGATAATTATGTAAGGTGCCAAGTTCACATCACCTTGCACCCTCCTGAAAGAGAAATCCCAACACAGCCTCAACCAGCAACCATGATACCAACCACAAAAGCGTCCCAGCTCGTCAGAAACCATGTACTATGGCTGTTTGTCCCAGTGTCAGATTGTTTCTTAGCCTCCCTGGATCTCCCAGTTAATTTCCTTTGTTTTCTGTATTTCTTAGCACCCTGTATCAAAATTAGGACACTTGATTACTGTTTATAACACACATTTAAATTTTGTCAGAAAAGATCACTCATATTTCAGTCAAAGCTATGAAGAAATTCCAAGAACATGAACTTAGAGCATTAAGAGAGGAGTTAGTTGTGCTGAAGTAAGCTGGTGTCTCAATTCCAGGTAGCTTATGATCTTGTGGCCTTCGGCAGTACAACGAGGCCAGCCTTTTACAGAACAAACTGTTCCTGAACAGTTTCTCCACTGTATTAAAAGCAAACATATTTTTTCTCCTATATTGAACCCTTCAGCCTTTTGTGTTTAAACTATTTCTCACTTGTTTGAACTGTTTTTTCTGGAACAAACATTTATTATAGGCAGTGTAAATAACAGCTGGCACTCTGTTTGTGTTGACTTTTGTATGTCTCTTCTGGGCTGTTATTTAGTTAGAAGAGAGTTTGGAGACCCAGATTCATGTCTCTACCTTGTTACCAGTTTAGAGCTTAGACAAGTCTTTTAATTTTCTGGGCCAGAGTTCTCTTGTGAAATAGGGATAATAAGTACCCTTGCCCTACCTCGTGGAGAGGGATGATAAAAATATGGGCTAGTCTTAAGATATCTAGAAAAATGTGCCACAGAAAATAACATGCTAGTGTGCACTATTAATTGACATTATTATTACTACCACTATTGGCTTATCAGTGGAATTTAAACTAGCATGCTGTTTAGCTAAAATTTTTGTTGTTCTTGCCTTTAGTTTAGGCAGGGTGGAATTATCAAAAATATTTACCAGAAAGTTCTGACCTTTCAGGGAACAGACTGATTACTCAGAAAGGATTCTTTTAATTGACTTCAGTTGCATTTTGAGAAGGGCACATGTGTGCACACATGTGCACACTCACATCTGTATGCTTGGTCATTTGTTCTCAGAAAGGAAACAGGTAAGAGGTATTTCCCCTTGCAGATTATTCTGCTCCTTCCTTTGGCTGTAGATTGCACTGGAAGAAATAAGCTTTTAAAATCCTTCTGGGACGAAAGGGGTTTAGGATTATCTGTCTGCCTTTCGAACAACACCCTCCTCCCCTTTTTTAAAAACTGTGTGTAAGTATGAACAGATCTGAAAGTGTGCTAGGTAAGAGGGAATGAATTATGGGTAAGATGGTTTGGATGAAGATACAAGTCCATGAATCCCAGTTGCATGTGATCATGAGTGCATTTCCTTCAGGGTATAACCCCGGAGTTGAAGATGTGAATCAAGTGACGTTTTCTGCAGGTTCTGTTTGTAGAAGCGCTCAGACTTTTGTGAGGTTCTCCAGATATCTGTCTTCTGTTGTCCTCTTTAAAATGTTAGTACAGCACAGTTCTCCTCTAGTTTACCTTGCAGAGATGTTGCATGGGTTAATTAACAGATTACTAGCAAATGCTTTGAAAATCAAAAAGTCCTTTAGAAGTAATCAGCATTGTTTGGTTCTCATTTAGAATGAGTAGAAAGGATATCTTATTTCTTCAAAGCAGTATAACTAAGATGGAAGAGAGAATGGTCCTCTTGCAGTGATACCAGCTACTGAGTTCTGATGCACTACTTAGGTTGAATTGTCATGCCGTTGTACAAGTGAAGAAATAAATGGGGCCTCACTGGGTCTGCCAGAACCTCACTGCTGCAGAGCATTACAAATACGTTAAAGTGTAATTGACATCGAGTATCTGTACGTCTACAATGTGCCAATTAGAATATTTAGCTGTGCAATAAAAGAGGAGTTAATAAACCACATTTAAGAAATGGAAAATAAGATTAGAAGTGGCATTTTGGCCCTTATTCAAGTGGCAGGGAACAGAAGAGGATGTGGAAACCAAGCTCGACTCAGTTCCCTGTGTCTTCATTCCCACTGGCTCATTCATTACCAGTGAACGAGATATTCAGATATCACCCCTTCCTCCAAAGTATTCTACTCTCCATTTGATTCAGTACTATTTTATAGCTTAATGTCATATGGAAATTTTAGAATTCAACTTCAAAGTAAACAGTAAAATGAGTTTAAATTACAGTTCATCGATTTCTTGCTGGCTTTTTAATTTATTTGTAAGACAAATTGCATAGAGTTTCTACTTTCTTCCCCTCAAAACTCACAACCCCAAAAATATCTGGTGGGGGGTGGGGGCTTTTCTTTTAACCACGAGTGAACTACTGTTTAGCAACATTGACTACAAATGTGCTTCTTGGGAATTTCACCACCATATAATTGCCTTCTTCATTTCTTTTCTTGCTTAACTAGTGTATATAATCACTGATTTATAAGTGTGAGCTGTAATAATGTCAGCTGTCTGCTGGCATGATTGGAGAACTTATTATGAAATGAAGTTAATTTTATATCTTCTTTTCTTGGAAACTCTTTTATACTTAATTTTAAGCAGATAAGTGACATAAAAGACCAAACTACTTGAAGATAATGCATTTAGAAATTGCTGATTGATGAGCTTATGCTTATCTAATTTTGTTTTAAAAAGATCCTAATATATCTTTTGAGAATAGATTTTTGAAGGGAAGAGCAAAACTAGTATAGGTGGATAAGATATCAGCAAAAGAAAAATGGAAGGGTTCTGTTTCTCTGTCCAAAAATTATTGTAACATTAATCCTAGAATTCATGTTTTAGTCATGGTTGTCAGTTGTGGAAAATATTATTTAGCTTAATAGTTTTGCTTAAAATAAATGTTTGTGTTTTAAGCAAAACAGTTTATGTTGTAAAAGGGTAACAGCTACATTTTATGCATCTCTTTTTGCTGGATTTTCTTTTAGAAATAATGATCTTTAGGGCTGTTTTCTATAAATATGCATATCATACTTGTGTTTCTGCTTAAATGCATGCAAGTGTAAGAAGCACTGAATTTGATTAACTTTATTAACAATAAATAATGAAGTGTACTCTTTTATGTTAACCCTTATTTTATTGTGTATCAGCCTTTAGACATTTGGCTATCTAGACAAGCAATCATTTATAGCCTTTTAAAAAAATATTTATTGCTCTTTTGACTAATTGCTTTTTATATGACTTAAAGCCTTTTGCATTGATACCATTTGTTAAAACACAGCCAGAAGCAGGCAGAGCAGTCTCATTTTTCAAAAATTTAGTGTCGTTTTTATAGACAAATAACACTTGTAAATGATGGATAATAGCTAGCAGGATGCTGCATGGTATAAAATGTGCATGAATTATATTTTCTGGGAGTTAGAAGGTTAACTTGTCTATGAACTAATTGAAAAGCTTTATGGTAAATGGAAAGTGCTGTGTGCACATTATCGGCATGACTTAAACCAGCTGAAAAAGGGATTTTCCTTCCCTTGGGTATTATTCATTATCTCCTCCCCTTTTCTGGGTAGCTGATGTATATGGAGAGTGATCAAAATGAATCTATAGAATTTATATAAAAGAGAACAGCATAGATGCTTTTCATGTGTTGGCAATTAATACTTTGCATATTAGAAATGGGATGGAGGTAAGTGCAGGCATTGAAATTATCATTGCATGATGATATATTTTTGCATTTGCAAAGTCCATGTTTATCAAGATGACAGTGGTTTCTGGCCCTGGGAAAACAAATGGTGGGAGATAGACTTGGTTTCTTCTGCGGCTTGAAGTGTAGACATAACAGGAATTTATCATAGGCTTTTTGTTGAGGAAGGCTAACTCATACGTCTTTCTTCTTACATTGCACAATTGAGTTATGTTGAAAACACACCATCTTAATTTAGTAGCAAGTCAGATATTCAGTTGAGAATATTAATATGTTAATGAGAACTTCAGAAACTTTACTTATTCAAAAGTAATACTTTCTTTGCCCATGGAAGGTGACCCTAAACCCACCTCCTCCAACATAATCTAGATAGATGCCTACAGATTCTGTCTATCCTCTCCCCACCCCGTCTAGCTACTCTTTCTCTTTGAGTGAATGTTGGGGAGAAAAGGATAGAGGAGGGGAAGGTGATGCTAAGAAAAAGAAAGGATTTCTCCCTGGATCTGGTCACACCCTGACTTTGTGTTTTCTGGGCTTTGTTGCTATTTAACATCTGTTTTCTTTATCATTGATGTTTATCAGTTTTATGACAATTGCCTAGATTTAATTTCTTTTTATTTACCCTGATTAGTATATCTGTGGATTCATGTCTTTTAACATTCCTGTAAACCTCTTAGTTATCATCTCCTTAGATACGCCCTTTCTTCCTTCCTTTCTATTCTTTTCTTCTAGGTCTCTGATGAGACATATTATGGACCTTCTCATTCTATTCTCCATCTGAGTTAACATTTCTTTATATTTTTCATTTTTTTGTCTTACTGTATTAGTAATTTCTTCATTTCTTCCTTCCAATTAACTAATTCTATTTTTTGCCTTGACTAAATGCTGTATAATCTTGCTAGCAATGTTTTTTTATTTCAATAATGATAGTTTTTATTTAAAAAATTTTTAGTTCTTTTAAAATCTGCCTTGTCATTAAAAAAAAATTGTGGTAAAATACACATAACATAAAATTCACCATCTTTGCCACTTTTAAGTGTTCACAGTTTAGTTAATAGTACATTCACATTGTTATGCAGCCAGTCTCCATAGCTCTTTTTAGTTTGCAAAGCAAAAACTGCCTGTTCATTTTTGATAGTCACTTGCGACTTGCTTATTTTTGTGATTCTGTCTTTTGCTTCTTTAGCCTTTCTTATGTAGTTATTTTATAGTCAATATTTGGTAACTGAAGCGTCTGAAGTCCCTGGTACTTCACATCTGTTCTTTGCTGTTTCTTTAGTCTCTTGCTTCTGATACTGTTTCGTTTGCCTGTCTGCTTAACCTTGATTGCTAGCTCATACTCGGTTGATCCTAATCTGTAGAAAAAGTCTTGGGGCCTAAGTCAAAGATGCTTTTCTCAGAGTATTTGCTTTTGCTTTTGCCAGTAGCCACTGAGGGCATGCTGCTGTCCTGAGACCATTCCATTGCCTTCCAGATGCTGCCATGTAACCCAGGACTTTTAGTTTAGTTCACACACCCAGCCATAGAGCTGAGGCCCAGCTTCCCAGAGGTTATGCAAGATCACCATGTGCCCTTAAGGGACCCTTCCCCTTTCTGAGGCTCATTGCCCAGGGATTTTTTGGTTCTTATTCTTTGTTTCTTTTCCTTTTTGTCCTTGTAGACATTTTTTAAAATTTCCTCTGAGTCCAACAAAACAAGAATTGTTTTAATTCAGATGCTTGTTTTACAGTAAAACAGTAAGAGTATTAGTCTGCTATACTTCTGGAAGCCTGAGCTGATTTTAAAGGATCTTTAACATGGGCACTCCATGTGCTCCTCTGCTGGGCCCCACCACCTTGCTCAGGCTCAGCCACCTTGCTCAGGCAGCCTTGCTCTACTCCCACGTTGCTCGCAGCTTCTGATTTTGAGGTCTGCCTCATCTAGACCCTGCTGGGTCTATCTGACCCCTTGGAAGAAGTCTCTTGGGAAGGATGACCTTGGTTGACATCCCTATCATAAATTTTACATCTGGAAATTAAATTGCCTTTCCTCCACTTCAGAGGGAGAATGGGGTGCAGGTCCTTCCCAGTGCAATTTTAGCTAGCCTGTATCTTCTAGGTGTATACCAGCTTCCAGTTCAGCAGTCCTCCAAAATTCTAGGGAAATTATATAAATTGCTGTGTATTTCTGCTTTGAAGTTTCTGTCAGTGGACTTGAGAGTAGGCATCCCATCCCCACTGTGCTGCCCAACTATTTGGTGTTGGTGGAAGGATCATAACACAGCTGTTTTCCCCTCACAGAAAAACAGAATTCTCTCTTGATTTCTGTTGTTCATTCAGTGGGTAAGGGTTATAAAAAATCCTGAAACTAGTTATGACACATTAACTTTGAAAAGCTCCTTTTGCAGAGACTTGCACCTCACTTTGGAAATTTATATTTGTTGTTTCTTGGTAACTTATTTGAAACTTCCAGTTTAATACCTGTCCATACAAACATAGGCAGCATGTATTGCCTCCATCTTGGGGTAGTTTTTTCTCCTTTCCCTGACTCAGGTTGTTTGTAAACATCATCTAGAATGGAATGGACTTCTCTGTTTCTATGTTGGCCAGTTGTTTTACTTTTTCATTACCCTGGAGGTAGCACTTCTTACCCCCTGTGATTCTGAGATATAAAGATGATCAGGAAACCATTACAGCCACTGCAGAGTCAGCAACAACAGAGCAGGGCCTTACACTGTCACTTGGCATGTTGTTTTATTTTTTTAATGCCATATGGATTAACCGTCATTATTTGTATATAGTTACTCCCCATCAGGGAGATGGAGATTAACTCTCCATTCCTATAGCGTGGGGTGCACTTTGGGACTTAGCTCCAAACAGAACAGCAGGGCAAGGAGAGAAAGGAACATAGAGGTGGAGAAACCTGGCACACAGTTCCTCGGCCTAGTCATCAGTTCACGTTGACCATGTGACACCTTGACAGGAGTGGTGAGAAGGGTATTTCACCTCTGTGACCTGAAAAACCTGTAATCTTGGTCTACTGATGAGTGAGAAAAGCATCAGTCACACCCACATGGAGGGATGTTCTACCAAATGCCTGACAGTGCTTCTCAAGACCGTCAACGTCATCAAAAACAAGGGACATCTGAGCATAGTGTCACCGACCAGGCCCGGCAAAGGAGCCACGACCTTTAAACATAATGGGATGGGTTCCTGGGATAGAAAAGGACATTAGGGGGAAAAAGTGAAATCCAAGGAAAGTGTAGCATGTAGTTAATAGTATCTTACCAGTGTTGCTTCCTTTGTTGTGACAGATGTATGTAGTAATGTCAGTGGTAACAACAGAATAAACCAAGTGAGGGGTACCTGGAGGGTGACGGGTATACAAGGGTTCTCTGCACTATCTTTGTAAAGTTTCTGTACCTCTAAATCTAAAACTATTGTAAAATTCTATTTAAGTAGAATTTTAAAATATTTTTAAATATAATTATTTAAGCCATTTCTCTAATAGCTCAGAGAACTGATATATATCTATAGTTTTATCTGCATTTCAGCAACATCTGTGACCATCTTTCAGAAGAGATGAGAAATTGTGGTGGAAAAGGAAGCCCAGTTAAGCAGGTGGCACTTAGCACAGTGGTTAAGATAGCCTTTGGGGCCAAAATGACTGGCTTTGAAGCCCTATTTTGTTCCTTCTAGCTTTGTGACCTCAGGCAAGTTGACATTCCTATGCCTCAGTATCTCTGCCTGTAAGACGATCAGCCTATGTTGAGTGACTAATGAGGTAACACATATAAAGCTTCTCTGGCATGGGCTACACCGTGTTGTAGCACCAGGACCTTCACTGTTTTTTTTCCAACCTCTTCAAGTGACTATAAAGGTGACAAGTTTGTGGATAACACAAAGCTGAGCAAGTCCTATGAAACTGTTCTTGGAGGCTGGGGTTCAACCAAAGGAGGATGGAGGGTATGCTTCCCACATGAGTTGGGAGTGACTCCTTGACGTGTGTGTGTGGAACCCTTTTGGTGCTCAGAAGAATACACTTAGTCATACGCATTTTGTTTGTTACGCAAAACCGTATCTGTGATCTTAAGGACATGCATCATGACTGCCAACATCAAAGCTTGTTCTTTAGATCCTGCTGTATTTCATGTCAGATACATTTTCATTGTGCTCTTTCAAAGGCACTTCCAGGGTCTCTGCCAGATCCTGGAAGTGGTCATCTTCCACTACTGGCAGCTGGGTTCTTGGCTGACTCTTTGTCCAGATGGGAGCACTGTTGTGGCCTCTGAATCAAAATTAGCCCTTTTTTCCCCAGTGCGCCTTTGCTAACTTACCTTGGATTTGGAAGAAATGAGAACTTGCTATTTTCTTTAAAACAACACCAGCTATATTCAGATATAATTCACATACCATACACCTCATCTATATAAAGTGTACAATTCAATGGCTTTAGTATATTTACAGAGTTGTGGAACCATCACCACAATTTTAGAACATCTTCACGACCCTACCAGTAAACTCTCACCAGTGGTGTATGAGGGTTCTAGTTTCTCCATAGCCTAAGACTTTTTACTATGTGTCTTTTTGATATAGGCATCCTAATGCTATGTGTGGTGGTGTCTTATTGTGGTTTTGATTTGCATTTCCCTATTGACTTAAGATGTTGAGCACCTTTTTATGTCCTTATTTGCCATTTATCTTTTTTAGAGAAATGTCTATTGAGATCCCTTCCTTTTTTTTTTTTTTTTTTTATGGAGTCGCACTCTGTTGCCCAGGCTGGAGTGCAGTGGCGTGATCTTGGCTCACTGCAGCCTTTGCCTCTCAGGTTCAAGCTCTTCTCCTGCCTCAATCTCCTGAGTAGCTGTGATTATAGGCACCCACCACCATGCCTGGCTAATTTTTGTATTTTTAGTAGAGATGGGGTTTCACCATGTTGGCCAGGCTGGTTTGAACTCCTGACCTCAACTGATCCACATCCCTTGGCCTCCCAAAGTGCTGGGATTACAGGCATGAACCATTTGCTCATTTTAAAATAGGTTTTCTTTTTATTATTGAGTTGTATTTGGTGTATATTTCAGGTATAAGTCCCTTATCAGATACATGAATTACAGACGTTTTCTCCCATTCTGTCTGTATCTTTTCACTTTTTTGATAATGGTTTAATTTTGATGAAAACTTTTGTCTTTAGTATTTGTACTTTTGGTGTCATATCTCAGAAGATTTTGCTAATCAAGGACTATTTTTTCTAAGAGTTTTATAGTTTTAGCTCTTACATTTAGGTCTGTGATTTATTTTGAGTTAATTTTTGTTCATGGTACAAGGAAGGGATTTCTTGCATTCCTGCTAAGTGGTCTGTAATTTTGGTAGAAGCTATGCAGTGGGTATACGTGACTAGTCAAGAACAAAAAAAGTCTTTGATACTGAGTGCCTAATGAGCTGCCCTGGCCAGACCATTGCACCTATGTGGCTGTTTCATCATTCAGAATTGCTAATTAAAGGTCAGCTGTTCACTTAACCAACAAGGTTTATACGTTTTTTTCTAAAATGTATGTAAATATTGTTTTTTTCTTGGAGGCTTTTTATTTTTAACTGGGTCTAAAAAACTAGTTTGGAGCATGTTCAGGAAAAAAATACACATAGCACGGTATGTCTGAAAGAGCATGAACTTAGAGTGCAGAAGACCTGTGGGAAATCTTATACCTTCCATTTACTAGTTATGTTCCTTGGGGACATGCTTCCTCTAAGCCTCAATTTCCAGCAAAATTGGTGAGAGGAATCCATGAAATCATGCTTATAAAATGCTTAGTATGCCATTTCTTGGCATATCTTAGTTACTCAGTAAATGATTACTATTTTTGTAGTTGATACTAAAACTGCAGCCATCATTCATTTTTCTCCTGTGTGGTCCCTTTTATGATGCCCCTATGTGAATATGCCTTGGGTCAGTCTTTTTCTCAGAAAGTTAACGTCATTTTATTTTCTAGCTAGGGTGATTTACTCAAGCTATTTGAGAGTTGCAGTCTCCTAAGTTTTCAGAGTGAGTTCCCAAGGGAACCATGAAGAATAATAGTTTATCTTGATTCCAGGAAAGACAGTTGCTGAGAGATTCATGGAATACATGTTTGCATTTCTTTCGAGAGCGGCTCACAAATTATGTTGGGTTATAAATGCTGGTTGCTTCTTTGCCAGCAAAGAAACTTCGTTGGAGTATTTCAGCTTTCTAGTGAAGACAAAGATTTTTTGACAAGATGGGAAAGACTTTACAAGATTGTGGGGAGGTAGCATTGCATTTAAACCAACAGCAAGAAATTGGTGAGAAAAAAAGATGTGACATTCAGAAAAGGAAGGACAAACAGCACCAATAGAGAACCACAGATTCCATGCTGCTGTGGGGGGGTTGAGGGAGTTAATAATACTGGTAGTAATACTGGTAATAATAATTGGTCTTGAGCGTTTATCATGTGATATGTGTAAATGCTATGTGCTTTAATCATGCCTATAGTCATTGAATAGGCACAGAGATTGCAGCGAGCGGAGTTGAGAGTTGAAGAGATTGAATAACTAATTCTGTGGTCATATAGCTAGTAAAAGGCAGGCCTAGGATATGAATTGAGTATGGCTAGAGGTTTTTTTTTCTTTTTTTTTGAGACAGAGTCTCGCTCTGTCACCCAGGTTGGAGTGCAGTGGTGCAATCTCAGCTCACTGCAACCTTTGCCTTCTGGGTTCCAGCAATTCTCCTGCCTCAGCCTCATGAGTAGCTGGGATTATAGGTGCCTGCCACCATATCTGGCTAATTTTTGTATTTTTAGTAGAGATGGGGTTTCACCATGTTGGCCAGGATGGTTTTGAACTCCTGACCTCAGGTAATCCGCCCATCTCAGCCTCCCAAAGTTCTGGGATTACAGGCGTGAGCCACCACATCTGACTCAGTGTGGCTGAAGTTTTCAATAGAAATTGTTTTCTCTTTTGAATATGGGAGACCTGAGACCCCATCAGTCCTATGGAGTGCTTTACCATTTCTTTAGCTTTACCTAGGGAACCAGCTGTTCAAAAAACCAGACACTTTTCAGAGAAAATGGGCTTCTGTTAGATTTTACCCGATGGCAGACAGTATATGCCCTAGGTGAACCAGAAAAGTGTGGTTGCCTGTAGATGAGAGTTTTAAAACAGTACTATTTGGAGCTCTACCCACAAAAAAGGATATAGCCTTATTTAGAACAGATGGTTTGGAGTAAACGAATGACATGGAGAAAACAGAACTGCTCAACTTCTATTTTGATTTTATCATCTTTATCAGGAAAAATGATCTTTAAGTTGGGAAGGGTAGAATAAACATGGTTAGCAGATATTAAAACCCAAGATAGAAGAGATAATGAGAATGGCTAAAAAATGCCTTTATGTCTCCTGGGCACGGAAGGAACTTGCAGATGTGATTGTGGAACCACTTGAGATAATATTTTGTGAATCAAGGAGAATAGGATACCGGAAGATTGTAAATGATTTCAACAAACATGTCCCTGTTTTCAAGGGGGAAAGCATGGTTTAGAAACTGCAGATGGGTTAGCTTAAGTCAGTTTCTGAGGAATTCTAGAAGAACTATTAAGCAGATGTTTATGAACATATAATAAAGCAACAGTGAGTAATGGGAGACAAAAAGGATACTCTAAGAACAAGTCTTTTTCTTGTTTAGATGGGATCATTCATCTGATACATGAAGGGAATGCCAGATAGAGAGTGAATATTGATTTCAGCCAGCCACTTTGAGAGTCTCTGGTGTCACAGACAAGATGGAGAAATGTGACTGGGGTGATTATACAGTTTGATGAGTTTATATTTGCTGCCACAACCATTGTGTGTGTTTATTTATTTATTATTATTATTATTTTTTGAGACAGGGTCTTACTCTGTTGCCCAGGCTAGAGTGCATGATCATAGCCTCATTGTAACCTTGAACTCCTGGCTTCAATCAATCTTTCCTCCTCAGACTCTCAAAGCTCTGGGATTATAGGTGTGAGCCACTGTGCTGGGCCTGCAACCATTTTTAAACTGGGTGATGAATGGATTGATCAACTAACTATAGTCTCTGGGACAAAATAACCTGTTTGTTTTTATAAATAAAGCTTTATTGGAACACAGTCGTGCCCATTTGTTTATGTATTGTTTATGGCTGCTTTCATGCTATAGTAGCAGAGCTGAACAGCTGCTTTGGAGACCATTTAGCCCATGAAGCCTATAATATTTGCTTTCTGGCTCTTGAACAGACAAAGTTTGCTGACCTCTGGCCTAGGCAGAACACTTGTTCTCAGCCTGCTGTACATTAGAATCACCTAAAGCATTCTTACTAATGCCCAAGCATCTTTTCTCCCTAGCCCCTCCAACTAAATCAGAATCTGAGATTAAGCCTGGCTTTTTTTTTTTTTTTAAGATTCCTGGGTGATTGTAATGTGAAGTCAGAGCTGGAGACCACTGGCTAGGAGGGAGGGTGCTAGTGGGGAGTCCAGCAAGGGACTGGGCCCCATCTTGTGTTTTCTATGAGGGTTAATTATATACTGTGCAATCCAATCTCTGGATGACACAGAGGAAGAGGTGGACATGGCTATTTAGATGACAGGGTAAGAACTGTAAAATTTGTGGCCCTAAGGTAACAAGATGATGTTGGTATAGTAAAAAATGTAAAGGCCTTTCCCTAAGTACTAAAAATTCTCTTGTAGAAGTATCAGGTGGTGATTTGGCCATACACAGTGAAATGCAAGTGAAAATGAGTTAAGGGTTAGCTGCAAACTCAGTATTAGCCAACAGTATGTGATAACTAGAAAACCCAAAATGAGACAAAACCAACAATAACAACTAAGGCAATCTCAGCCTATATTAACATAATTACAGTGAAAGCAAGGATAAAATTTCTACTGTATCTACTCAGGTCAAATCTCACCTGTTGGAGAAATGCTTTTTGCAGGTGGGAATGCAACTGGTTCAGCTTTGGAGTGACCTGGGGTAGTGCTTCCCAAGAAACTAACCTCTATTCCCCAGAGAGCAGGGTGAGCTGCCACAGTGGGTAGTGTAACCTTGTCTCTGAGAGGTGTGCAAGGAGGGATCAGATGGCCATTTGGCAGGGGTTAGAAATGAATGTTCATCTTTGGGGATTGTATTAGGATTCTCCAGGGAAATAGAACCAATAGGATGGATGGATGGAAAACAATATATGTAAAGCCTTATGATAAGGAAGTGGCTCATGTGATTATGGAGGTCGACAAGTTCCAAGATCTGCAGAATGAGATTGGCACACTTGAGATGCAGGAGAGCCAGTGGTGTGAGTTCCAGTTCAAAGGCTGTCAGGCTTGAGACCTATGAAAAGCCAGTGTTTCATTTTGAGTCCTCAAACAGGGAAAAACTGATGTTGCAGCTCAAGGCAGTCAGGCAGAAAGAGATTCCCCCTTACTCTAGGAGGGTCTGCCTTTTGGTTCTGTTCAGGCTTTCAGCTGATTGGCTGGAGCCTACCCATGTTAGGGAGGGCAACCTACTTTACTCAGATTGAAATGTTACTTCTCTCCGGAAACAGCCAGAATAATGTTTGACTAAATGTCTGGCACCCCATGGCCCAGCCAAGATGACACATAAAATCAGCTGTCACAGTGATCATCTAATGTAACTTCTTCATTTTGTGGATCAGAAAACAGAGTCACAGAGGATGTGTTTCCCAAGGTGCCCCCGTTTGGTCAGTGGCCAAGGTAGCTCTAGGATGATTAGGTCTCCTCAGTCCACAGCCCTGTGTTCTCTTCCTGCCACACTGTTTAGTAGATGTAGAGGTTATGTTAATGACCTCTGCTGCCCTCTCCAGCCCTCAGAATTAGACTGACTGTTAAACGAAATGGAAGATGTTGTTTTCCAGAAGGAGATGCCTTAAACAGGATGGAGAACTGCAGTTCACTGGGAGTGTAGTGCTTGATTTTGAGGAGACCCTTACCCAGATACAGAGGGGTCAGCGTAAACCCAGTTGATGTCCACTGTCTTATGTACTCGGATTCTGAGCTCTTCCTTTTATACACAAACACTCTTCAGGCCCCTTCAAAGCCCCAAATACTACTTAATCCTTTAATGCTGTTGCTGTCAAAAGGATGAGGAAGATGGATGTCAGGCAGATTTCAGGCTGGCGTGCATAATTAGATGAGTGCAGGGCCACCATGCGGGGCCACCATCTGAAGCTCTGTGGGGGAGTTTCCTTTGTGCTCTCTGCATATGGTCTCCTCTTGTTGCATCAGCAGATGATTCAGCCAGAAAGATGAAGACACTCAAAGGGACACTACTTTTGGATATGGCTCATCATAATAGGCTAAGCCCCCACCCTATGTCCAAGACGATTCTAGATGCTTCTAATACATTATTATTCCTGGTCTAAAAGACAACTGTGCAAGCTACACATTATCATCCCCATTCCATAAATGAGAAGACTGAGCTCTGGATGTGTTTTCTTCACAGTGGAGGAAAATGATATTGATTGACAGGTAAGTCCAGGTTTCTAATGTAATGCCCCTGTGTGTTTTCACACTCTTGGCACTGAGCTATAACATCTTGTTTTAGGAAGCAAGAATACAGTTATTAGAAGACCACTCTCAGAGTCAACTCTCAGGTACTGTCAAACGGCAACATTTGAAATTCCACAGTGGCTAACACACTGACACCCAACACAGTTCAAGTGTTGTATAAATAAAGTCAACAGGCTGACTTTTGAGTAAAACATAATTTTTCAACTGCTGCCAAGAGGAAGATAATTGATGATAAAAGGTAAACATGAATGACTTTTTGATTACCTGTTGTTTTAGATTATCTCAGCTTCTCTTCATCATTACTGCAAAGTCTTCAAAGCTATGCAAAGTAAACTCTTAGGATCAATTTCCCCCTCTCCACTTCCCCTCTTGTCATATTTCCCCACACCTTTTAACAGAAGGGGAAGTCAGGAATTAGTTGCTTCACTTTCTAATTATTACAAGTGTGTTAAACAAAATCACTGATAAGAGCCTCACACGTTGCAGGTGCGCATGCCTGAGCTCCTACTGGAGAAGGCGGCTGGGCTGGAGGAAGCATGAGCAGGTGCAGTGCCCTGTCCCACCCTGCCCCACCCTTCCCCTGCAGGAGTCCTCATTAGTGAATGGGCTGAGAGTGGCCTGGGCAGTGTTCTGTATGTACAGATACAATATTTTTAGGCTCTAAAACAGTATGATTTGGCAAATGGACCTGCCAAGTTGAATCACAATCTCTAAACCCAAGAGCATTTCCCGGGTTCCTCTGGAGTAGTTCCTTTGTTTGGGTAGGGGAGGAGTGGAGACAGACCCTGGACATAGAGTGGGGACAAGGAGTGTATGCGGTGTGAAAGTTTGCTTTAATATGGGATCCTTATGGATCCATTCTAAGTCAGGGTAGTCCTGGAAGGCAGGATATGGTCAGCTCCAGGTAGGTCCCAAGCATACTGGGTCATTGCCCTTCCATAAATCCATGTTGTCGAAGGGGTGGGATGGGAGACAAGGTAGAAGATCTGGAGCTACTTCTGCCTTTTTCTTTTTAACTTCACAATGTAAGTTTTGTGGATTTTTGAAAACACAAATAGAAATCTTAATCATATTCTTTCTCCTATTAAATGAATTTTAATGCTGCAATTTTAAAATGGATTGAGTGGCATGGCTGCTCATCCCTGGGTTAAGGTTCTTTGGTAAAACTAATTCATACGTGAAGTACAAAATAAACATGAAAATAGCATGCCAATGAGGGAAGGAAATGAAGACTTCATACAGCAAGCTCCTTCTGTTGTCTGTTTCCTTCCTCCCCCTTCCCTCTGCAGTCCTTCTCTCAAGCCTGCGATGAACATCCTGAGGCTCTTTGAAAATCCATTTGTGTTTTTGGTTGAATGCACCCTAGGTCTTGAAGACTCACAGGCTAGAGAAGTATTGATTGCATTTAAGGGTCCATTACTTAGGTAAACCAAATAATGTAACTGATCTTGGCTTTAATTGATCAAATCTCTCCCACAGTGTTGGAAAGATTGTAATCTAATTACTCTGGTTCCTGGTTTCTAAGGTGAAGGTTACATTTTGCTGAAACTTAGCCTGCTTCAGTAACCTCTCCTTATCTGGGCTGTCCCTTTTTGAAACACATACACAGTGTATGTTGTCTATCTGTGAACTCAGAAGTACACACACAGGTGGACACTTAGCTGTCCATGTAGAGCCCCTGTGAATTTTAATTTAGACTCTATATTGACAGTAGGTAAGAAATGTGAGCCATGCTAGTTTTTTCATCTTAATTCTTTACAGCTTGGGAAAGGGGACTAGCAAGATGCTCCTGTCTAATCAGGTTCAATACCAGCCTCTCTTGTTTCTCCTAACAAGCTTGGCCTCATCCTAATTCTTTCCTTTTCTGGAGATAGAAGATCTATTTTGAGCCTCAGAACATTGCAAGTGCAGTATGTTTGAAGACTGAGTTGAAAGCTGCTGAGCTGCTGATTTATCTGCAGATTGGCTACCCTGTTAACTAGTTCTTCATGGAAGCGCCTCGACATCTTCCTGGGAGCTGTTGCATGGGCTCAGCTCAGATTCTCCAGCTCTCTTTCAAAATACCCCTTTACCTCCTTTATTAAGGCTGGTCTACTCCGGAGGTTAAAATCCAGGGCTAGGGTGGCAGTGGGTGCGCTTTTAAACAAAGGAGCTTGATATCTGCCCTAACCAGCAGGATAACCACATTTAAAGAAGACTACCTGAATGACTATTTGAGTTGGAAGAAATGGGCTCTGCCATGGGGAGAAATCAGGACTCTAGTAAATAACTTCCCCAGCATTCCTAAAAATGACATAGGGTGCTAGAAAGCTTTATGTCATTCATGGGGATTAGTGGAGAGCATGTTGGGCAGTTTCTCTGTCTGAGTAGGGGAGGATGGGAGACAGGAAACCTGGAATGTGGCATTCTTCTGGCAGGTCTTCTTTCTGCAGGACTTCCCTTGTTGGCTGTTACTCTACATTAGTCAACAGCAGCATCCGCAGAAGAGGTTGTCAGCATCAGCTGCTGCGTGGAAATTGGTGCATCAGTCAAGCCCATCTGCATCTGCAGGAGCAGTGTGGAAATGTGAAGCAGGGACTGCTGGGAGATGAGGGGTAATGATCTGCCTTTCAGGGTGCTTGGGGATTTCTTTTGGTCAGACAAAATCCTACATGCCCTGACATTTACTTTCCTTTAAGAAAGTATGTTTTTGCAAGTACACAGTGCTATGTAGTAGACCTTATAAAGGATCTTAAAATTGAAACACTCTGCAGATACAGCTTTTCTAGACAACAAGTACAAGAACTCTCACCTAAGCTGGCAAGATGTCTGTGTCTTTTTACAAGAAACATCTTGGTGTTCTGTGGCATGGATTCTTTCTGGGATCTAAGAACAGGAATACTCAGTCCAGGAGTTTAAGACTACAGCGAGCTATGATTGTGCCACTGCACTCTAGCCTGGGTTACAGAGCAAGACCCTATCCCAAAAATAAAAAATAAGTAAAATAAAACATGAGAATGTTTATGTGACAGTGTGAAGAACGTGTTTCATGGGAATGTTTTGAGAGACAGCCGTGAAGCCATTTGCAAGTGTAACTGTGATTTTTTTTTTTTTCCAAGGTAGAGTATTGCTCTGTTGCCCAGGCTGGAGTGCAATGGCATGATTTTGGCTCACTGCAACTTCTACCTCCTGGATATTTACATCCTGGGTTCAAGTGATTTTCCTGCCTCAGCCTCCTATGTAGCTGGAAGTATAGGCATGTGCCACCATGCCCAGCTAATTTTTGTATTTTTTGTAGAGATGGGGGTTCACTATGTTGGCCAGGCTGACCTTGAACTCCTGACCTTGTGATCTGCCCACATCAACTTAGCAAAGTGCTGGGATTACAGGCATGAGCCATCAAGCCCAGCCACATAACTGCCATTTTAATGGGTTTAACATTAATGCTAGAAAGCTTACATTCAGAGCAGGGCAGTAATGTTTCTTAAAGGTTGGGTGTAAGATGTTGTATGAGGAGTACTCTTAGTTTGGCCTCCCACTCTGCCCATTGGATTACTTATATTTTCCTAACTCTGATTTTTAAAAGTTTCAAGTGTATAAAAAAGTTGAAAAACATGTCGCCATGACATGGGAGAATAGTCATTACTCCCATTCTGACATATTTGCTCGATACTCACTTTATTTTCTGAACATTTGAAAGACTCTTTCAGGTCATGACAATTCATCCCTAAACATTTCTAGTGTAACTCCTAAGACTTGTTTATTCTTTTTTTTTTTTTGGTACTTTTTTTTTTTTTTTCTTTTAGTAGAGATGGGGTTTCACCATGTTGACCTGAATGGTCTCGATCTCTTGACCTTGTGATCTACCCGCCTTGGCCTCCCAAAGTGCTGGGGTTACAGGTGTGAGCCACCACGCATGGCCAAGACTTGTTTATTCTTTTACACAGTCTATTGCCATTAAAACATCAGGAAATTTTAACCTCAATATAATAATATCTAGTGGTCAATCCATATTAAAATCTCCCCAATTGTCTTAGTAATTTTTCTTATGGCCATTATTTTCTGAAGTCTGAAATCTAGCCAGAGATCACACATGATGTTTAGTTGTCACATCTCGTTAGCCTTATTTTAAGTCTATAATAGTCCTCCAGCTTTTTCAAAGTCTTTTTGTGACATGTAACATCTTGAAAAGTCCAGGCTAGTTCTTGTTCTTGTGGAATGTCCCCCAATCCCAATTGTTTCCTCCTGTGAGATGCGAGGATATCCCATCAGGACAGAGTGACCTTCCCCTGTGGCACCACAGGAAGTACAGGGTGTCAGTCTGTCCCTTTTGTGGTGATGTGTGGTCACATGAATAAGGCAGTGGCCACCAGATTTCTCTGTGCTGTCAGGTTCTGTCTTCCTTTTGTGGTTAAGGGGCTTGTGGGATGATCTTTTGAGACCAGTGAACATCCTGTTCCCAGCAGTCTTTAACAGAATGACCTTTGCCTGAATTGGTTATTGCTTTGGTAGTTACTGTGCCCCAATATTTAACAAAAACAAAAGGCAGTTATACTTTGGAAGCCAGAGAAATGACTCCAGAGAGGAAAAAAGCCACATCTTTTAAAATTTAATAAAACAATTTACCTTTTATATATTAAAGTAAGATTTTTAAATTTGTAAGTGTGCGTATCAATAGGATTTGATGAAGTAGGATTTGAAATTTATGAGTGTGAATATCAATAAAGAAATTCTGTAATTTTAGTTATAGATTTTTAAAGGTTGTACTTACACATTTCTACATTTTGCACACTGTATCTTAAAATTTGCATTAAAAATTTCCAGAGCTGAAATCTTGTTATTTGTTACTCTAGAGCGGAATTCTTGTTAATTATTTTGAGTTATTAATTATTTTGGTGATTATTGCAGTATTTGGAACAAAAACAGGAAATGCTCTAAACTCATGAGTGAAAGATTTCCATGTAGATAGCTCTCTGTAGAAATACCATCCAAGGACTTTATGAAACACTGAAAGAATCTGTTGTATTTTGTAAGCAGTACTCATTTGAGAAATTGCTCTTGATAAATAGGTTTCACTAATTAAATCATACACTTCTATAGTACATTACAGATAAAACTAGACTAGGAAATAAATATAATTAAAGTAAACATGCCCTTCTAATTAGTAATTGTTTCTGCCATTTTAAGCAAATTTCAGAGTCACAGAGAGCTGCTCCACTATAAACCTAATAATGAAGCTTGAAGCTTGTGATAACAGGTGTAAATTAACACAATGGAAAACATTTACACTGTAACATGCTAAATTAAAAATGACATTAACAAGTCCCATTTTCAAATTCTCTATAATTAACATTTGTTCAACCCAGAGATGAGTAAGTGCAGTACAACGGTAAATGTCTTTATTTATAGCTTAGGATATTTGTCAGGCGTTATCTTTGTTAAATTGTAAACAACAGAGATGCATTCCTCCTTAAAATATGTCATGTTTATATAATCTTAGACAGTTCTGACAAAGGGTAAGACATGATATTTATTGGTGCTGTTATTGTGGGTATTCTGCAGGTATGCCACCAGAACAGCTTTGATTGGGGGTAGGGCTTGACATGAAATATCGAGAGTGGGTTGAGAATGGAGATACGCAGGTACAACGGCAGTAACATCTACGACATGATAAAATATTAGGATTCCCTCGAGTGTTCCCCTCATTGCACATATGTGCTTCTAAGTGCTTTGAATCAGTGTTTGTTTCTGCAAATAAATATTATCTTAAAGGCTTTCTTTTATGGTGCTAGTTAATATAAGCTAGAAAGCAGAGAACAGAGGAAACAGCTTTGTAGTGTAATTTGTCACAGAGGACGTGATGCTTTACTCCTTACAGAGAATTTCATCAGCACGCTAATGGTTGAATAAGGAACTGAAGCATTACTGCATTGCTAAACATTGTCTTAGAGCTAATTGTTGACCTTTTCTTAACTCAAGATTTTAATCACTTTAATTGTATCTCTTTTAAAAAAATGTGAGAGTACATACTATGGATTTTTTTTGAATAATTAAAAATGTTTTCAAGTTTTATTTAGATTGTTTGGAGTTTATCCTTGTGGAGGAGGATGGTAATGTGATAAGGACAGGTTTGTGTTGTGCCCTTGAGAGTGGTAAGACTCAGCATTTACCGAGTTCTGGAGCTCACAGTCCCCTTGGGGAGATAGAAAAGTAAATCAGTGATTGCATTCATCTTCTGTCACCACTGTAAGAGAGCCAAGGAACAAAGGGAAGGACTGTCTAAATAGTAGAATAATGTAGTAGTGACAAATATTATAAGAAGTCCAATGTTTTAAATAAAGTACATTGAGCACACGTTAAAGGAAGAGTTACTAGTCTGTGGGGCATGTGGCTCAGCATTGCTCAAAAGTGCTTTTAGTGATGGGTGGAGAGGCCGTAGATCTGAGCCGTCCAGCACGGGTGCCACTGGCTCCACTGGCTATTGAGACTTGAGAAACTGAGCTTATCATTTAACTTAATTTTAATGAATTTACATTCAAATGCCATATGTGGTTAGTGGCTGTTGTAGTGGAAAGTGTAGATCTATATTTTAAAGTCTTACGCTTAAAATCATTATTTCAAGATTTTTTTTTTTTTACTGTTAAGAGAAGTCATAGATTCGTTTTTACCCTGAGAAATTCTATTCTGAAATAGTTTCAAATCCACTGAGTTTAGACAGTTGAAGTTTCTTTGTCAAGGTTTCAATGTGATGAAATAAAGGCACTTAGTTGTGTCTCTGACTGCAGGCAGGTTCCTGCCCTCACTTTGCCACAGCCATCAGTCAAGGGGGGGATGGTGCCTGCTCAAGATGCCTGGCAGAGAGTGTGTGGGAGTCTGGTTGGAGCCCAGCTTTTATATATTCATATATTTTATTTAACTTTGACCAAAAAGTGAACATAAAAACTGAGTCATGGCAATGAAAACTAACAGATAATTTATATAAAATAAATCTTGATATGACTAACATTGGTCGAACATGACATGTGATTTTTTACTCCTTAGAAGCCCCATGTGAGGTAAATAGAATCCTTCCCTCACATTTTCTAGATGGGAAGCTGGAAATGCCAGGAAATGAAGTGAGGGAACTCAGCAGCGAGAGGACCTAGACTACAGCCCAGTCCGACAGTGCCAGTCGAAACCTAGTTTTCCAATGAAGACCGCCTTCCTGCCCTTTCCTCTCCTCTTTTTCCCACAGCTTCACACCTACCACTTATTGAATATTTAGGTTAACGGTTTGAGAACATGGACTCTGGCATCAGATTTCTAGGTTTGAATCCTGTTGTTACTGCTGGCTAGCTCTGGGTTTGGACACATTAGTGGACCTCTCTTGTGCCTCATTCCATTTGTGTGTGTAGCGCTATAGAGTAGGTATAGGATAATGTAACCGTTAGCCGTTGTCAGGATCATTGTCCGCACCAGCTAAGTACATGCCATGCATACATTATTAATTCTGTTATCCCTGTTTTACAGATCAAGAAAGGTTTTCTTTTGAAGGTTGAGTTACTTGCTTTAGATCATGTGATCAGCGGGTGGTAGACTGTCCTTAGAACCCAGGAGTGTGTGCTGTTGACCCTTGGACAGCTTAGGGGCTAGAGGTGCCAGCAGTCAAAAATTCGCATAGAACTTTTGACTTCCCAAGGCTCAACTATGAATGGCTTCATGTTGACTGGAACCCTTACCGGTAACATAAACAGTTAACACATATTTTGTATGTTATGTGTATTATATAATATGTACTATATAATATATGATAGGTATTATTCTTACAATAAAGTAAGCTAGAGAAAAATGTTATTAAGACAATCATAAGCAAAAGAAAAGCAGAAGTAGATCATCTTAAAGGTCTTCATCCTTTCTGTCTTCCCATGGAGTATATTGGCTGAGGAGGAGGAGGAAGAGGAAGGGTTAGCCTTGCTGTCTCAGGACTGGCAGAGGTGGGAAAGGACGAGGGAGGGGAAAGGGAGGCAGGAGAGGCAGGCACATTTGCTGTAATTTTTATTGAAAAAAATCTGCATGTAAGTGGACCCGTGGAGTTTTTTAAACCCATGTTGTTTAAGGATCAGCTGTATTTTTGAAAACCCTCACTAAAAATAATAAATATTCATTGATTCCCTTAAGGGGGAAGATTTGAGGCCGTTCTTAGCGGAGTATCTGACATAGGGTGAGAACTCAGTCATGGCACCTGCAGTTCTTATTAAGAAGTACATTTGTCTGCAGTTGGTTGGCTGTTTCCTGTGCCTCTTAGAGGCAGAACAAGAATACAGGAGTGCTGGTGAATATGCGACTGTTGCCGGCAGGTAGTTAACTGTGGCACTCAGCTGCTCCCTAGCTCATTTGCATAGTCTTCTGAGTGATCTCACAGTCTTCTCTGACTACCGCTGGTCACTTGATTAAAGAAAACAGCCAGCTCCTCACTCTCCTCGCCTTCCCCACCTCCGTTGCCATGGCCAATCCCCCTCCCCTTCCTTTTGCTTCCCTTCCTGACCAGCCACATCCCGGAGTTTCACCAGGGAGGCTGGGTGGGCTGAGGAGGTGCTTCTGAGACTCTCTTGGTAAGATTGGAAATGATGCTCTGGGCTGAGGCTCTTCTTCCCAAAGCAGATTGCTGTCTTGTCCACGTCCCCCAAGCTTATTCCTCTCTTTCTCTCTACATCTGTTTCCCTGCTTGAGACAGTGGTCTGACTTGCTGGACAGCGAGGCAGCTGTGGAGTATCCCCTGTGTTTAGAAACAGTACTGTCCATCGAGAGGCCCCATCAGACATCCCCCATATTTGATGGGGACTCTCGATGGACAGTACTGTTTCATTTTTCTTTGGCATATCTATGGATTATTTTAAAGACTATAAACCTGTTAATTACTCCAAAGTAAATCTCAGAGGTCAACCTGGGGCCATTGATATGTTTTCTATATTGAAGGCTCAGTTGACTGCCATGCCGATCATTCATTGGCAAGTGAACTGGCAGGCATCCGTCCAGCCATGCCGATCATTCATTGACAAGTGAACCGGAAAGCATCCGAAGGAAAGAAGTGTGATAGTATGCCTTTCTGTATATTGCCCAGGGAAGTTTATTTTATTTTTAGCATTGGCTAATGCAGTGGGACAGGAAAGTCAACTTAGGTGTTGAGAATGAAAAACAGCTTGAAAAAAAGACATTGAGGTTCGTTGCACTCCATGACTTCAGTAGACGGATGGAAGAGGGTGGTGAGAAGGAGTTGTTCTGAATACATGCAGTGTTTTCATTTAGAGATGCAGAGGTTTTCTCTTTATTTGTATCTTAGTGGATGATGATAGTTGAAAACAGAAAGAGCCATTTCCCTCAAAACATGTAGCTGTGCATGAATACACAGGGTGAGCTGTTTTCTGTGAGAGGGGATCCTGCTTGGTGCTGAGAGGGTAGAATGGAGGATGCAGGTCCTGCCCTTTAGGTATCCCTGGTGTAACAGAACCCTGCCATCCTGAAATAGGTTAAAGTACTGAAGAGGTCAAGACAGTGGCACACCACACTCACAACTCCTCCATGTGTTCGTTCCTGGCTCTGTGGGTAGATTGGCTGGGAAGGAAACTACCGAGGTGAGCTCTAGTTACCAGAGATGGAGATACTCAGGTGCAAGCTGCCTAATTACAAAAGCCCAGAACACACATGCTCTCAGGAGGCCCACCAGGGTTAAAGAGATTAAAAAAATAATTTTGGCTGCAAATTTAAATGAAGATGAACACCACGAGGAACTTCATATGCAGAAATGGAATCTTGGCTTTCTTAAAAAAATAAAAACACTAATGCCTTAACAACT